TTTAATTGGGAGACCCTAGGCCGCTTGATGTTATTTTTAGAGGTCTACTAGTTGGTTTTAGGGCCACGTCCTGCGTCACAATCTGGGTTATTCACCCGTGTTACATTTAACTTACACTTAAAGGAGCATTTCAGTTTATGAACCAAGCTTCACTTTAATCCATTTCAGAAATTATCTAAAGCCATGGAGAACAGTTGTAATGCCACTTTACTTTTCATTAAATACATAAATCATTTGCATTTCTCGTCAAAGGGAGACACCAAACAGCAAAGCTTCATCATCCCTGGAAATCTTTTCATCTCATCCTATGCACTTTATTTATTTGAAGCAGTAACATTTTGCTAAAACCACAGTATCTCGTCACATTAAATGTGATTGATGTTAGTTTGATGCTGAGAGGAACAGCTTGTTTGCTACTACTACTGTTAACTAATGTCCCCCCTCCCCCACTTCCTTCCTTCCGCTAAAGATAGGTCCCCATTTCTCCTCAGAGTGACGCAGAGTAGAACATCTCCTCAGAAATCTACTAAAAGGTAAATGAATATATAGTTTTTTTTATCTTTAGATCCATAGAATAAGCTGTGGGAAGGTCTTGTTCAACAGAAAGAACAAGGTCTGGATTTTATCATCCTATGAAATATCACGTATTAGCAGTTTTTAAACCCACAGAATGGCTTCAGATTGTGCCTTCTACCTACTAGCGGGATCAACCAATTAATCCTAAGCCTGAGATTGTTCCCTTTCTTTTCCCGCAGAATTCAGGACTTTCAAAAGGGGGGTGCACACTTAACAGTAATGTGGAGACCATGTGGTGTTGAATCTGTGAACCTAGAGGTCTGTTAGGGTATTGCAAGGGGTACATGAAAATATTTTCTTAGGAAGTAAAACAAATGGGGCTGGGATCTGTTCTGCTTTGTTAGGACCCAATAGAAAAATTAAACAAGCTTTTATCAAACAAAAAGTAAGTTTTTAACATATGTTTGAGTTGACCTTTAGCTTAGACACACATCCAAACCAAGCAGAGTAACAGACTGAATGTAGAGAACAGTCTGGGATCAGCTGGTTTTCACATTGAGCTATTGGAGCTCATCAAAGCAGCTCAGGCGTTTGGATGAAAACAAAGTAAAACTAATTAAGTCAGTCTGACTATCATTTTTGTTCCCAATTTATCAAGTTTAAATGTGATTATAAGGGAGCCGCTGAGAGGAGCTCCAGTTTTCTAATTACAGGTTTATATTATGATTTTATTTTTGATTTCAATTCCTTACTAAGTTCAAGGCAACATATTTATGTGTTGTTTTTTTTGTGATGGAAATAATACAATCATAAGAATGGAATGTTGAAATATTTACTATATTCCACTGTCTATCTATCCTCTCTCTCTCTCTCTTACCATATATGGTAACGTTTGATCGTTCATGCTTTCTGTACTTCCACTGTGGCGTGAGGACAGGGTGCCTTCAGCATGAACGTTTCCTGCTGCTTGTGCAGTGCGTTGACACAGGGGGAAACTGTATCTGATGAAACACCACCATCAGCATGTTGTAGTTGACAGCTACTGGCTGTTAATCTTAATACAACAAAGTATGTAGCAAGCATTTATTATGGACACCATAATAAATGCATAGATTAATGCTTGCCCCCCCGTTGGAGAGAAGAAGGAAAGCGTTTGTTGCTGTAGAGCAACCAACCCAAGGCACTCCTCTACTTGGTTTGTCTTTACGCCTGCTGACCTGAGAACCTGAAGCGTTTCCATGATTCTGACACAGACATGTCTTCCTATGAGAGGCCTTTAGTTGATGTGACATAGAAGCACAAAGAAGGAGAACTGAGCTTTATTTCTGGGTTGATGTTTAATAACTCAAGGTGGAGGTTTGGCATGGAGTTAGATACTGATAAAAGTTAAATGTGGTAATGTCCTACTTTAGGGACAGGTCAATTTTGATCAGGACAGAGTCTGTATTTGAACAAAGTGAAGAATTCCTCTTCTGTTATAATAATTCCATTTTATGAGAAAACACAAGTTTAACTGAATTAAGTTGTTGAGAGTTTTTATTGTTCATATATTTAGACTTTAACATTTTTTTTATTTAACCTTTATTTAACCAGGAAAAAAACCCATTAAGATTAAAAACCTCTTTTTCAAGGGAGTCCTGGCCAAGAGGCAGCAAAGTTACATAAGAAACATAGATACATTAAATTTAAACATAAACAAGACTTTGCTATGTGGGGCATGTTTGTTCCTATTTCTCTATGTATTCATTCATGGCTTGTGTTTTTTTGAATCCATATATTGTATTTATTATTAGTATTATTATTATATATTACATTATATATATATATATATATATTATACACTACTGTTCAAAAGTTTGGGGTCACCCAAACAATTACTGTTTTCCTGAAAAGTCACACTTATTCACCACCATACGTTTTGAAATGAATAGAAAATAGAGACAAGACATTGACAAGGTTAGAAATAATGATCTGTATTTGAAATAAGATTTTTTTTTACATCAAACTTTGCTTTCGTCAAAGAATCCTCCATTTGCAGCAATTCCAGCATTGCAGACCTTTGGCATTCTAGCTGTTAATTTGTTGAGGTAATCTGGAGAAATTGCCCCCCAGGCTTCCAGAAGCAGCTCCCACCAGTTGGATTGGTTGGATGGACACTTCCTGCGTACCATACGGTCAAGCTGCTCCCACAGCAGCTCAATGGGGTTCAGATCTGGTGACTGCGCTGGCCACTCCATTACCCATAGAATACCAGCTGCCTGCTTCTGCTCTGAATAATTCTTGCACAATTTGGAGGTGTGTTTAGGGTCATTGTCCTGTTGTAGGATGAAATTGGCTCCAATCAAGTGCTGTCCACTGGGTATGGCATGGCGTTGCCAAATGGAGTGATAGCCTTCCTTATTCAGAATCCCTTTTACCCTGTACAAATCTCCCACCTTACCAGCACCAAAGCAACCCCAGACCATCACATTACCTCCAGCATGCTTAACAGATGGCGTCAGGCATTCTTCCAGCATCTTTTCATTTGTTCTGCGTCTCACAAACGTTCTTCTTTGTGATCCAAACACCTCAAACTTGGATTCATCCGTCCACAACACTTTTTTCCAGTCTTCCTCTGTCCAATGTCTGTGTTCTTTTGCCCATCTTAATCTTTTTCTTTTATTGGCCAGTCTCAGATATGGCTTTTTCTTTGCCATCCTGCCCTGAAGCCCAGAATCCTGCAGCCGCCTCTTCACTGTAGATGTTGACACTGGTGTTCTGTGGGTACTATTTAATGAAGATGCCAGTTGGGGACCTGTGAGGCGTCTGTTTCTAGAACTAGAGACTCTAATGTACTTATCTTCTTGCTCAGTTGTGCAACGCGGCCTCATACTTCTTTTTCTACTCTAGTTAGAGCCTGTTTGTGCTGTCCTCTGAAGGGAGTAGTACACACCGTTGTAGGAAATCTTCAATTTCTTAGCAATTTCTCAGATGGAATAGCCTTCATTTCTAAGAACAAGAATAGACTGTCGAGTTTCAGATGTAAGTTCTCTTTTTCTGGCCATTTTAATTCTGGCAATATGTGATGAAATAAAACGCCTGATGTTAGAACACAGACTGTTTATTAAGGATAGAACAACAAAGAGAAATTGTAATTTAATATAAAACACAAATATAGATTGAAGTAATACATTTCACACAGGAAAAAGTAATTTTCCTTCTGGATATAGTCTTTAATCATTACACGTACACTCCATTTTCTATTTCATTTTTATTACAAAAGTTTTCAATGGGATGAGAACATTTGGATGCTGTGAAACAACCAGAGATTTTTTTTAAGGAACATGTTGGAAAAGAACAAGGAGCTGTTTGCTTTCAGAGGAAGGAGTAGACACTGACGTCAGCGACTAGCTTTCAAGCAAATTTTGTGTTTTATTATTATTTTTAAATCAGTATCACTGGCGATATTCTGCTGTAACATGTGAAGGGAAGAATAAAACAGTAAAGCTCATCTTTCATTTGTATAAACATCAACTTTTATACACGTAAAACCTTTCAGATTTTATGTTCAGTACGTTGGAACTGAGGCGGAGTTAACTCGTTTTGTTCTTCCTACTCCGTGCGCGCTCCCGACGAGGGGATACAAATTTTCACAGGGATAACTACCTTGGCACGACACCGGGACAGAAGGACAGGTTCATTACCAGGAGGTTCCAAACTTCAGGGAGAGGAACCACATTCCAACTGTTCCACATCATATCAGGCCTGCAACGAGGGAAATTGTTTTATTTTGAACTATATGCCGGCTCAGGTATGAGTCAGGGAGTGTGGACCCACATGTTTTAGTTGGACAATTAAACTGAAACTTTATTAAGAGTGAAATTTATTTTAATTTTATTTTTGAAAACATCTCAATTGTATTGTGTTTTTTTTTTGGGGGGGGGGGGTTCTTTTTCTCAATATAAGGTCAAAGATTGATAAAATGTTGTGCGTTATTCGGTTATTTCCGATAAGTAAAATTATTGGATAAGAAATAAGCAGAAGTAAGGCTGGATTATAACCCTGATTTTGAGTGCCTTAGGTTGTATTTAAATGTTATTACTATCCTCAGAGGTGAGCCAAACTCAAGTCAAAACATAACAAATAGAGTTTAAGGGGTTTGTTACGAACTCAGGGGCCCTTACCTACTTCAGTGGGGTATAGGTGGGCTACATCTAGAATCACAGACATCTTCAAATTGTCACTTAGATCAAATGCAGGACGTCTGGTTTTATATATAAATGTATTTCACAGCTATTCTTCATAGTATTTATAAATATAATTTCCAGGGGACAGAAAAGCCTCCATGGGGTGGAATGACTCACAGACCTGGAACAGGAAAACAGATAGACCTGAATGTGTTCTAGACACAGTTTTAGCTTTGAACCCAGAACTTCTCCAGATGGTTCTGATGAGATGACCCAGCAGACATCAGTAGGTCGATGTAGTGAAGAGTTCAGACCCAGATGGTTCCTGCTGGAATCAGGTTCCTCTGGTCCTCTACACATGATGGGAATCAGCTTTCTGCTTTACAGGACACTAACTGGACCTGAACCACTGGGAACTGACTGGTTCTGGTTTCTCTCTCAGACTGACTGAAGTCCAGAAGATGGAAAATTGTCATCTAAAGGAGGACAGAGCAGAACCTCCAGCATCCAACTGTCCGTTTGTGAGGAGTGACCGGTCCAAAGATAAACCTTCAAACTTCAGTGCAGAACCTGGACCCTCAGACCCAAAGTAAGGAACCAGTTTCTAACTGATCCATGAGACTTTACAGAGATAGAACCTCTAGAATCTGAACTGCTTGATCTTCAGCGTCTAAATCCAAAGTTCTTTAGTTTTTCTTTCAGCTTAAAGCTAAATAAACATGAACGATGTCAGTCAGTAAATCAGTAGAATTTGAGGAACACAGAACCAACCAAGAATCTGAGGAGCAATCAGGTTCAGAGATGTTCTCTAAAGCTTTGGACCACAGGAGGTTTTGGACTGGGAACACTGGACCCAGCGTATATACTGGGTCCAGTTGATCCAATAGGCTCATGACCCGGCCAAAGGTTAACAGGGAAAAGCAGAACAACAGGACTTGGGTTGTCCCTCTAGTTCTAAGGTTCTGGTTCAGAGTCCGGTCCGGTGTTCTGTTCTTTAATGACGGCCACATCAGCTCCTCAGACAAGATGAACAGCTTCGGTTCTGATATCAGGGACCAGAACCTCTGCTCTCCACCTTCTCAGACTAGATGTGATCAATGGGTCAATGTCCAGAACTTTCTGGGCTTTGTAGTTCTAGTAGTGAGTACTATAGTAGTACTTTGTAGAATCCTTCCTAGAAATCTGATCTCATCAGCTCCATTAAACTGTGACATGAGCCTCTTGTCGTGCAGGTGTTGCTTTGACCCATGTGATCCAGACCAGTAGAACCCAGTTCTTCAGATAATTTTCAGCTGGATCCAACAGAACTGTCTGAATATTTCATTCTGGAACTTTAAACCTTCTGCTTCTCTGCAGCAGTTTGTGTTCAGAGCTTCTTCTTCTTCTCTGGTTTTTATCTCAGAGTTTCTCACTGATTGATTTGATCTGAATAACAACATGTTTGTGTTTCAGAGGTCAGAACCACAGAAAGAGAAAGAGAGCAGAACCTCCAGGATCCAGATGTCCGTCTATGAGGAGTGACCTGTCCAAAGGACAGCAACCAGACTTCAGTGCAGAACCTGGACCCTCAGACCCAAAGTAAGGAACCAGTTTCTAACTGATGGATGTGACTCTGCAGAGATACAACCTCTAGAATATGAACTGGTTGATCTTCAACGTCTCACTGGTTTGGACTTTCTGCTGGTTTTTCATTGGCATCCAGCAGATTACTGACAGGTCCAAAGTCATTCTCTCTCCTCCAGCCTGATAAATCTCAAACGTTGTTCAGGTCTGAATCTAAATGATCAGAGATAGAGACTCAGTGTGTCATGAATCAGCAGAATGGTTCTGGTTCCTTCCAGCAGGTGGAACTGGGCTGTAGAAGCAGCCCTCACTGCAGCGGGCTCCTTGGTGTCTTTGTCCACACAGTCCTACCTGTGGAGCTGCAGGTTGGGTCTGTTCAGAGCTTCATCATGTTGCTCAGAAACCAGAACTTTCCCAGCAGCTGTTCATCTGCAGCTCTGTGGCGTCTCTTTCCTCCCAGCATCAAACAAACCTCAGCATCACCCTGCCTCTGATCCAGCTTAGCTTCACTTGGGTTTTATTGCACTGACTGGCAGCTAAAAGAAGCAGTTGAACAGCTCTGCAAAGTCCTTTTATAGGTTATTTCAGTCATTGGATGACTAACCAATAACGTCCATATGCACTCACCGGCCACTTTATTAGGTACCCCATGCTAGTAACGGGTTGGACCCCCTTTTGCCTTCAGAACTGCCTCAATTCTTGGTGGCATAGATTCAACAAGGTGCTGGAAGCATTCCTCAGGGAGTTTGGTCCATATTGACATGATGGCATCACACAGTTGCCGCAGATTTGTGGGCTGCACATCCATGATGCGAATCTCCCGTTCCACCACATCCCAAAGATGCTCTATTGGATTGAGATCTGGTGACTGTGGGGGCCATTTGAGTACAGTGAACTCATTGTCATGTTCAAGAAACCAGTCTGAGATGATTCCAGCTTTATGACATGGCGCATTATCCTGCTGAAAGTAGCCATCAGAAGTTGGGTACATTGTGGTCATAAAGGGATGGACATGGTCAGCAACAATACTCAGGTAGGCTGTGGCGTTGCAACAATGCTCAATTGGTACCAAGGGGCCCAAAGAGTGCCAAGAAAATATTCCCCACACCATGACACCACCACCACCAGCCTGAACCGTTGATACAAGGCAGGATGGATCCATGCTTTCATGTTGTAGACGCCAAATTCTGACCCTACCATCCGAATGTCGCAGCAGAAATCGAGACTCATCAGACCAGGCAACGTTTTTCCAATCTTCTATGGTCCAATTTCCATGAGCTTGTGCAAATTGTAGCCTCAGTTTCCTGTTCTTAGCTGAAAGGAGTGGCACCCGGTGTGGTCTTCTGCTGCTGTAGCCCATCTGCCTCAAAGTTCGACGTACTGTGCGTTCAGAGATGCTCTTCTGCCCACCTTGGTTGTAACGGGTGGTTATTTGAGTCACTGTTGCCCTTCTATCAGCTCCAACCAGTCTGGCCATTCTCCTCTGACCTCTGGCATCAACAAGGCATTTCCGCCCACAGAACTGCCGCTCACTGGATGTTTTTTCTTTTTCGGACCATTCTCTGTAAACCCTAGAGATGGTTGTGCGTGAAAATCCCAGTAGATCAGCAGTTTCTGAAATACTCAGACCAGCCCTTCTGGCACCAACAATCATGCCACGTTCAAAGTCACTCAAATCACCTTTCTTCCCCATACTGATGCTCGCTTTGAACTGCAGGAGATTGTCTTGACCATGTCTACACGCCTAAATGCACTGAGCTGCCGCCATGTGATTGGCTGCTTAGAAATTAAGTGTTAATGAGCAGTTAGACATGTGTACCTAATAAACTGGCCGGTGAGTGTATATGCAGATGTATCCCATAGTATAGCATGTAGCATAACATTATTCTGGGTATCTTAGACCGACTCGTAGACATTGACAGAGTTAGCCAATGACATTGTGTCTAACGTTAGAAAATAGAACAAAATTCACAGTGAAATGTAAAAGTAGTAATTCTTTATTAAGTGGACGATGCTGTCGTTCGTTCTTGTAGTTTTGTTTTTTTTACATAAAGTACATAAAGAAGTATGAGGGTGTAGGGATGAAGGTATCTGGCTATGATGAAACTCGTCTCACATGCAGATTTAGATAGAAACACTGCGCAGGGGAATGCCTGAGACTGCTGACATTGAGACATGCAGTGATGATGATTTGAAACTAGAAGCAGAGATTAATGAATGCAGTGAGCTACATAAACACCAACCAAAACAACAGAAGCAGACTTAATAAGCCTCCTACTGGGTCACTAAATGACAGTAAAACATGGCGAACTGCCAAATGAAAATCTGCTACGACTCAACGTGGCCTAAAAATGATCATGATTTAGTTTTAAAGTGAGTCTGTTAGAGGATCAATACAACTCAACCTCAAAACGCTGACGGAGAAGATAAGCCGATAGACTTTGTAAAGAGAAGGCTGCAGCTTAATTGATCATTTAGAGTGACGAGACATCGACCAGAATATTCACCCCATTTAAGCGGTGAAGTGAAGACTTGATTGAATGTTATGTGATAAGCCATACCTAAAAGAAAGTGATTTTTTTTATATTGAATAATATAGACACCACTGACCTAACTATTTACCCAGTAGATCACGTTTAGCCTGGTGAAAATAAATTTAATTAATGTAATTAAATTTATTGAGTCTGATTAAGGAATTTGGGTTCCATATATCAGATTATTCATCTAATATATGGATAATGCAGGATTAAATAGTGTTGATGTTTGACTGGCAGACAGATTATGTGGTTAGACCAAAGCATTATTCAAATTTATTAAAATATTAGGTTCAAAGAATTTAATAAAAGTCAGGGGCAATAGGAAACAACTAACTTTCCACAAAACTTTGGTTTCTAAATTCAGCTTCCTTAAAATTTAAATCTCAGACAAAGCATGACTGGAAATCAAAACAGACTGAAAGAAACGCAGGAATGACATGATTTGTCCATCAAAGCAGCGCACAATCTACTGATTAAATCACCATGACATGATTAACAGAGAACATTGTATAAAAACCAGCTAGGGACCTTGAAAAGCAAAGATCAGGGACTGATGTTAATTAACGATGAGAAGCTTTGAGCTGGAGAAGCACGTGCATGAATTATAGGTATTTTTTTAATAGAGAAAAGAGCTGAAGGTATGAATGAGGAAACACTAGATCCTTGAAGCAATATGTCTCACCTGAAGAGAATCAGAGTCAGCGAGCTGAACGCAGATCGAGCCAGCTGACTGCTGATGGCTGAAACACAGAAATGTTTGGAGGCGGGGGAACAGGGAGTGGCGAAGACATGAATCTCTGCAGCTTTGCGTGGATCAACAGGTGTGTCAGAGGATAGGATCCGAGTAGCAGCCAGAGGGGAGGATCCGAAGCTCACCGCCAGTTTAAACGGGGTCATCTGAATGATGTCAGACAGCGCATCCACCACCTGCGCACTTAGGAGCAGACCAGCCCAGATTGAAAGCCTTTAAAGAAAAACTTTGGAAGCCGATTGGCTTTGGTGGAGGTGTGGTTCAAAGCTGATTGGCTGTGTCGCAGGTGGATGTAGGAGAGCAATTAGTTTCTTCGGTTGAACTTCCACCTAGGCTCCATAACAATGTCATCAATACATGTATATTACATGTAAAGTGTTTCCCACAGGATTTTAGGAGACTGTGGTGGGAGAGTCTCTGACCCTCAGGGGTTTTTATGTGTGCACATTTTTAAGTGTGGTGTATCCCACTTAAAGGGGAACCCCAGTTTTTTCACATTAGGCCCTTGGTTTTACGTTATTCAATCATGTTCTACTCACCCATATGAGTTTTGTGCCATTTGGAGCCGTTCTGAAGATATTCTGTTAGGTTATATCCAAGTAAGGTCTTCCTATGGGCAACAAGTTGAAGGCACAAACTAAACTGTTCATAATTTATTGTTTATGGTACGCCAGCATTCAGAACATGGAGGCCAATCACTGTCACCCCAGACATCCGCTGTTATATTTTTTATATTTAAAAACAAAGCGGCGTGTGTGACGTCATCCGTGTATGAAGTCCTGTCATATGACTGCTCACTGCTTTCCTCACATGCCTGGAAGATGTCTAGTGCTGCTACCACAGACGATCTCGCTCTCCAAATGGAATTGAACGATTCAGATTAGCTAGAATGAATAGAAGGGGTAGAGCTTAGCCGCCTGTGGCCCGGGCTCCTGTTATGACTCCAGTGCCCATGCGCGGATAAAGTGCATTTTTGAGGGCACTTTTTTTTTTTTACTTTTTCTTTTTTCCCTTGTGGTTCACTAAGGAGCCTACAAATCATTATATTAGAGAGGAAGACTTGATTAGGTGACTGTTGCTGTGTGAATAAAATGCCGTTTTTTAAGATGAAATATTTCCAATTCAGTTATTTATTTTAGACCAAATAAAATTTTACATCCTGCTCGCTCCCACTCTACATTCAGGAAGCTGAGGGTTAACATGCTGTGGCTCTGACTGAAGTGTTGAGAGGGATTTCTGCAGAAGCAGGAGAACGGGGTAGGAACGGGGGAGGCGCCCTACCGCAGTACCTGCCGCTGGAGGACAAGAGTAGGAACGATACTTGCTTTCACAGAAGAGTCTCCAAAATCCGTTGGTGACACCAGAAAAGTCACTAGATTGGTCGCTGGTTGCTTTTTTGAAAAAGAGTCGCTGGAGGGGTCTGAAAAGTCGCTAAATATAGTCCGAACTGGGTAGCCGGGCTGGCATTTTTATAAAGGAGGGTGGGATGCGCGCTTCGAAAAAATATAACTGCCGCTTAGAGTAGAACCGCCACTGACCGTCTATGAGCGTGGCACGCATTCTTCCTGTCGCTTGATTACGGCTATAAACAATTTGTCTCTGTATGGCGGGTTACGGACGTTATCAATGTACAGCTGTGGAATGGTCTGATATACTGACAGATATTTTTGTTGTTGTTGCTTTCTCTCTCTGTATCTATATAAGACTGTGGCAGGCTTAAACAAGACTGTGGTGGGCTTAAACGAGAATGTAGCAGGCCCAAACAAGACTGTGGCAGGCCCAAACGAGACTGTGGCAGCCTTAAACAAGACTGTGGCAGGCCCAAACGAGACTGTAGCAGGCTTAAACGAGACTGTGGCAGGCCCAAACGAGACTGTGGCATGCTTAAACGAGACTGTGGCAGGCTTAAATGAGACTGTAGCAGGCTTAAACAAGACTGTGGCAGGCCCAAACGAGACTGTGGCAGGCTTAAACGAGACTGTGGCAGGCTTAAACGAGACTGTGGCAGGCCCAAACGAGACTGTGGCAGGCTTAAACGAGACTGTGGCAGGACCAAACGAGACTGTGGCAGGCTTGAATGTGACTCTGACAGGCTTAAACGAGACTTTGGCAGGCCCAAACGAGACTGTGGCAGGCTTAAACGAGACTGTGGCAGGCCCAAACGAGACTGTGGCAGGCTTAAACGAGACTGTGGCAGGCCCAAACGAGACTGTGGCAGGCCCAAACGAGACTGTGGCAGGCCCAAACGAGACTGTGGCAGGCCCAAACGAGACTGTGGCAGGCCCAAACGAGACTGTGGCAGGCTTAAACGAGACTGTGGCAGGCCCAAACGAGACTGTGGCAGGCTTAAACGAGACTGTGGCAGGACCAAACGAGACTGTGGCAGGACCAAACGAGACTGTGGCAGGCCCAAACGAGACTGTGGCAGGCCCAAACGAGACTGTGGCAGGCCCAAACGAGACTGTGGCAGGCCCAAACGAGACTGTGGCAGGCCCAAACGAGACTGTGGCAGGCTTAAACGAGACTGTGGCAGGCCCAAACGAGACTGTGGCAGGCTTAAACGAGACTGTGGCAGGACCAAACGAGACTGTGGCAGGACCAAACGAGACTGTGGCAGGACCAAACGAGACTGTGGCAGGCCCAAACGAGACTGTGGCAGGCCCAAACGAGACTGTGGCAGGCCCAAACGAGACTGTGGCAGGCTTAAACGAGACTGTGGCAGGACCAAACGAGACTGTGGCAGGACCAAACGAGACTGTGGCAGGACCAAACGAGACTGTGGCAGGCCCAAACGAGACTGTGGCAGGCCCAAACGAGACTGTGGCAGGACCAAACGAGACTGTGGCAGGACCAAACGAGACTGTGGCAGGCCCAAACGAGACTGTGGCAGGACCAAACGAGACTGTGGCAGGACCAAACAAGACTGTGGCAGGCCCAAACGAGTCTTGTTCATTAATGGGAAACAATGCATGTACATAATCAATAATGGACTTTTGGCACATATGAATTATGCTCCATTAACACATTAATTTTATTGTGATGGATTGCTATATGTTATATTACATGATTTATAGACTTTATTGACTTTATAATTACTAGGCAATGTGATGGACCTATTTATTTTTATTAGAAGTTAAATTAATCCACTTATGCTATGAAACAGCAAGTGTGTGTCGAAATGATGAATTTATCTTTATTTTAAAAGTTTTAAGTCCCCCCTGATCATCATTGTTGTTCGATAATGTAGAGGACATATTGTTTAAATTGCAACCGGTCTAACAAGGGAGTACCAATATGGCGGCTGGTGGCTTCATTTCAACCCCATTCTACCAATGGGCAATTAGCAATGCAGTGAATAAATAGAGATCAGTGGTTGTGGGTGGTTCAGTGTTAGAGTAGATGCTCCATGTGCCGAGGCTATAGTCCCTGATCCGATTGTCTTGGGTTTGTTTCCTGTTTTTGCTTCATTAGCTGCATGTCCTTCCTGCTCTCTTCACCCTCATACCTGTCAGATTCAAGGTCGGCTAAATATGGGGGCCAGAGGGGCCAACGCCCCCTCAGAACTGGTCTGCTGGAAGACAGAACTTTCTCATCTCTCTGTCCATTCTGTGCTGTGAGCTCAGCAGAACCCTCAGCTTCCATTAATGCTGCAGTTTATTTGTGGGGATCAGAATAAGAGTTTCATAGATCATTTTAGTTCATCTCAGCAGTGATGGTAGAGAAACGCTAAAATCTCCTCTGCAGCTCCCAGTTTGAAATGGTTTCTGTGGTCCAGACTGACTGTGCTCCATCTCAGCTCACTGGCTGAACTCCTCCTCCCTCCACAGTTCATCTCATCTAGGATGAGCTTCATCTTCAGGTTAATAAAATGAAGGATCTCAGAACAAAGCTGAAAGAATCATTCTGGTCAGAGATCTACATAAAAGCTCCCAGTGAAGCCAGTTCCTTCTAACTGGGAGCCTCATTAATCCCAGTTTGGATCAATAATATACAGAAACTAGTCAGAGAGCAAATAGGCTGTTGTGACTGAGCATCTGGTCCTCTGTCTGTGGTTGACCTCCATGAACATTTTCATCTTCAATAGGACAGCCCCACCCTGTTGGTAGTGAACTGTTTCAGTGATGAGGAAATGTCTCCACAGACTGAGGAAGATAAGCAAAACCCAGTGTGGAGAAAGAGCCGGAGCTGGACCGCTGACAACCAGTCAGAACAGCTGTGCAGCAGGTAAGACTGAACATCTCCCATTAACAGCTTCCTTCAATCATCTCTGTTGAACTCTGACAACAGATCAGTGATTACAGGATAGATATTTATATTTACCACATGGAATCATTCAAATAATATCTTGTTTCAGTCAGAAACTAAAACTCCTCACTAAAACTAAGAAAGTGGAGAACATCAGCTCAGTTCTAAAGTCCTTCTACTGGCTCCCATAGCTCAGAGAATAGACTTTAAAATACCTCTGTTAGTGTATAAATTACGGAATGAATTAGCAGAGTGGTTCAGGTTGTAGAAGTAGCCCAGTTACATTACAGACTTGTTATCAGTGGATCAACAGCCAGACCCCTCAGGTCTACTGGATCAGAACCAGAACTCCTTAACTCCATAATTTTAGCAAACTCCCCAAATCTGTAAAAGTACGGGAACCCTCAACTTCTTTAAATCACCATTAAAATACCTTTTTCCTCAGAGTTCTCTTAGACTGAGCTATCTAACCTGTTAAATGGATCATCAGGTTTTTGAGTTTCTGCTGGGTTCCCCCCTGTGACCCTGCTGGGTTGTGAGAACACCTATTAAATACAGAAAATATATTACTTATTTAATGTGTTTCACTTAGAATTTAAGTACATGGGGGTGTTAATTATTGTTAAACAGTTTAAAGACACTAAGTTAAAGGTGAAGCAATGAAGCAACATTGAAAACACATCTAATAGGTATAAAACATTGAATGCTTCCTAATTGTTGATTCTGGCGAATCACAAAATTCCCTTTCAAATGAGGTTCGACTGACTTGCACTGTTGATGCAGATTATTATAAACAATTACTAGGATGCTTCTTATTTTAATGATCAGCATTATGCTATACCTGAGCTCAATGCAGCGGCTTGGTGGCTCCAAACAGTTCCTGCAGCTCTTACCAGTTCACAGCTGATTAGGGTAAAGGTACAGTGTGCAGGAACACGGGGACAAAAGGGCTTTAATAGTTTGAGCTTTTGTTTTCTGCAACTTTAAGGATTTCCTGGTTGGACGATGCAATGACCTCCTAGCTTAGATACCTTGGTATAAAACTATTAGTTTTCTGTTAATTATGAAGGTTTCCTTCGTAGAAATGAACAAACACAGCCCTCAGTGAGAATATTAGAAATAGTTTTATTCTTTGTTTGGCTGAAATGTTTCATCTCATTTCTTTGTTTCTTTATTCAGATGTTGATGGTCAATGTCAACGTGACCTTAAAGTATCTCTGAAGAAGAAGTTTGAATGTGTCTCTGAAGGCATTACTAAAGCTGGAAAGAGAACCTTTCTGGATGAGATCTACACAGAGCTCTACATCACAGAGGGAAAGACTAGAGAGGTCAATGATGAACATGAGGTCAGAAGGATTGAAGCATCATTCTGGGAACAAAACAGGCCAGGAAAACCAATCAGACCAGAAGACATCTTCAATCCACCTGGAGGAAGAAATCGGATCAGAACCGTGATGACGATGGGCGTGGCTGGCATCGGGAAAACAGTCTTAACACAGAAGTTCACGCTGGACTGGGCTGAAGGCAGAACCAACAAGAACATCCAGTTCATATTTCCATTCACCTTCAGAGAGCTGAATGTGCTGAAAGGGAAAAAGTTCAGCTTGGTGGAACTTGTTCATCACTTCTTCACTGAAACCAAAGGAATCTGCAGCTTTGATCACTTTCAGGTTCTGTTCATCTTGGATGGTCTGGATGAGAGTCGACTTCCTTTGGACTTCACCAACAAGGAGATCCTGACTGATGTTACAGAGTCCACCTCAGTGGATGTTCTGCTGACTAACCTCATCAGGGGAAAACTGCTTCCCTCTGCTCTCCTCTGGATAACCACAAGACCTGCAGCAGCCAATCAGATCCCTCCTGAGTGTGTTGACATGGGGACAAAGGTCAGAGGGTTCACCAACCCACAAAAGGAGGAATACTTCAAGAAGAGATTCAGAGATGAGGAGAAGGCCAGCAGGACCATCTCCCACATTAAAAAATTAAAAAGTCTCTTCATTATGTGTCACATTCCCGTCTTCTGCTGGATCACTGCTGATGTTCTGGAGGGTTTGTTGGAGACCAAAGATGGACGAGAGTTGCCAAAGACCCTGACTGGGATGTACATCTGCTTCCTAAAGCTTCAGATCGAACGGAAAATAATCAAGTATGATGGAGGACAGAAGACGGAGTCTCCATGGACTCAAGAGAACATCAAGATGGTTCAGTCTCTGGGAAAACTGGCATTTGAAGGACTGCTGGAAGGAAACCTGATCTTCTATCAGTCAGACCTGGAAAAGTGTGGCATCAACATCAAAGATGCTTCGTGGTTCTCAGGAGTGTTTACTGAGATCTTTAAAGAGGAGAGAGGGATGGACGACACCTCAGTCTACTGCTTTGTTCATCTGAGCTTCCAGGAGTTTCTGGCTGCAGTCTACCTGCTCCACTGCTTCACCAGCAGGAACACAGAGGTGGTGGAGAACTTCCTGGGAGAAAAATACAGAGAAACATCTCTGGAGGACTTCATGAAGAAAGTCATGGAGAAATCCCTCAGGAATAAAAATGGCCACCTGGACCTGTTTGCTCGCTTCCTTCATGGCCTCTCTGTGGAGTCCAACCAGAGCCTCTTAAGAGGCCTGCTGGGTGAGATGGAGAACAGTCCAGGAACCATCCAGAGATTGATCAGCAATCTGAAGAAGATTAACAATGGTAGATTCTCTGTTGTCCAAACGATTAACATCTTACTCTGTCGTCAGGAGATGGAGGGTGTCTTAGTTTACCGGGAGATCCAGGATTTCCTGAAATCAGGGAAGTATATCTCAGTGATCCAGTGCTCAGCTTTGGCCTACATGCTGCAGATGTCAGAGGAGGTTGTGGACGAGTTGGACCTGGAGAAGTACAACACATCAGAGAATGGACGTTGGAGACTGTTTCCAGCTTTGAGTAACTGCAGAAAGGCTCGGTGAGTCCAGATGTCTTCATGGCGTGATGCTGATTCTGCTCTATTGTCCTCCTGGTTCTTCTTCATGGTTCTAGTTGCTTCTGGAAGTTTCTACTCTTTAACCTCTTCCTTCATCCTCTGGACTATTTAAAGCATTCAAACATCTAAACATTCAGCTCCTTCAGGACAGCTCTGCTGGAGCTTTGCTGTTTAGAGATTTTGATCATTTTCAAAATATTCAACTTTGGATCAGTTTCCATCTTCCATTGAAATTAATATAAATCCTTCAGAATGTAGAAAATCTGTGTTTTCTCTAAAGATCCAATCAGCCAGAGACCCATCAGAATCTTTAACCATCTCTTCACTCATTGGGCTGTTAGCCCAGAATTGACCTTTTTAGTCTCTTTGAATGTTTTTATAAAATCACTATTTAACTTTGTTGGGAACTTGGACCATTCAGATCAATCCCTGCATTGCTGCTGTTGTTTGGTTGTTTGGATCCAGAATCTCCCTTTCTTCCTGTCACAGATTTCCCTCTGAGTTTGTAAATTAGAGCCAAAATATGTTGATGTGTGACTGGTTTCACAAAATGTAATTTCTGTAGGAGTCCTAGTTTCTGTCAGATCCTCCCAAAGCTCTGAGAACTCTTCTTCCAGAGTTTGGAACCATTTCCCTCATCAACACTTCATCTGCAGCCTTTGTTGAAGCTGGTAGATGTCGTCTATAAAGACATGTAGAGACATGAGCTTTAACCCTTTAGACATTCCAGCCTCTTCTAATTACTGGGAGAACTTTCACTGCATCCTGCCGGAATTTGGAATTTCTCAGTCACATTCTCACCAACATTGGGTTGGGATAAATATTGCTCCACAGGTTAATTATTTAGTAATTATTTATCATTTCTGGTCTTTTATTTTTAAACTGATGAAGGAACCTTATTTTTTTTTATTATTATTATTATTTTTTTTAACAGTGTCCTGTCTGGCAATGTGGCAATAAGAATAATTGTCTTGATGCCAAAAAGAGCCCAACAGATTTTACTATTACAAGTTGAGCAGTACGGCTATTGCCCTAATGTTCCGCTTGTTTAATGCATAAAAATTGCTTTATTATAATTATGCAGAGAGTTTTACAGATTATATGAATACTGCAATGTAAATAGAACAGAAGACAAAAAACAGAAGAAGAAAAAAAGAAAAAAAATGAAAGAAGGAGGAGATAGAATACATGATAAATTTTTTTCAGTCTGCTTCATAATCTGCAACGAGATGCAAAAAAAACAGCACAACCGAAAGACATGGTAGAGGACATACAATAAAGCAACACCCTGAAACTATCGCTGAAGTAGTATTATTTAATCTGACATCTACTCTGTGTTACCTGAAGACTAAACTAAAATCAACTTAAATTGATGCTGAGTTCATCCTTACTGTTCCAATTCATGAGGGTAGTTTTCTTTGCGATAAACAATGCAGTGATGCCATGCAAACTGATTTTTTACAACCCAGGCCCAGTGATAGGTCCTTACATACCTGTATCCAGAACCTCTGAACCGGCGTGCATAACCATAACTTGTCAATATAATTCTCAAGATGATTGCCTGTGCACTGTGGACAGATGTTAGATTGTGCAAAACCCATCTTGAATAATCTTTGACCTGTATAGTGCACTCTGTGGAGGATTTTGTATTGTATTAATTGTAAGTTGGGGTTTCTAGTCATGTTAAAAGTTCTTAGACATATCTGAGCCCAGATGTTTTGTTCAAAGCTGACTGATAAATCCTCCTCCCATTTAGTAATAGGAAGAGATATTGTATCATCCAGTTTAGTCAGTGTCCTGTATGATTTAGACAGTAGTTTGGGGGGTTTAACTTTAGGAACGCTGATATATTGGTTGTAATTTGTAAACCTCCATCAATATGCTTAAATTTATTTCTAATTATAGCTTTAATTTGCTCATATTCTAAGAATTTTTTTTGTTAATGCCATATTGCAAATTTAATCTAGCAAATGTGATAAACTCTGTACCTTCAAATAAATGATCCAGACATGTAATACCTTTATTCTTCCAGTATGGAAAGATTATCATATTATTGTTTTGTAGAATGTCAGGGTTATCCCAGATGGGTGTACGACTGCACGGGATAAGTGATGACTTTGTTATTTTTAGAAAATTCCCACCATGCTGTCAGGGAAGAGTTGATGTTAATATTTTTAAAACGTGTGCCGTTTGATATTAGATCTGAAATTAAGATATTACTGCATATTTCCTGTTCTGTGTCTATCCAGGGCTCATCTAAGGGATTCTGTTTCATCCATTTAGAGATGTATTGTAATCTATTTGCTAAGTAGTAGTGTTGGAAGTAATGTAAATCTAGTCCCCTCTGTCGTTAGTTTTCTGTAGTGTCTTTAAGCTGATACGAGGGGTGTTAGGTTCAAAATGTGGGTTCGTAAAAGAAGAACTGGGTTCACACAAAAAGGGATTCTCAACAACTTCTGCAGAAGGGGAAAGAGCTGCAACCCAACTTTCCAACACTCTCTCCCTCTGACCTTCTCTGCAGAGCGCTTTTATTAACAGAACATAACAAATGGTTACAAAACAGAGTATAGTTCTGACAGAACAATTGATCAGGTCATAAGACAGGATGCTCCACTGACTGAATCACAAGAGAGAGTGGAGCATCTAATTTCTCCAATGTTTCATATGTACATACATTAATTTTATAATCATCATTGAATAAACCTAACAAGGAGGTTTATCCTTTCAAAGAAATTTAGACATGGAAGAATCTAGAGATTTAAACCAATCGGGTGAGGGTTTATTGCGATCATTGGAAATAGGTAGTTAATTCTGGGTAAGACCATTTTAATTTAGGCTACCCTACCTATAAGGGAGCTCGGAAGCGATTTCCATCTTTCTAGATCCTCTTCTATCTTTTTTAAAAGAGGGATGTGGTTGAGTTTTGGTAACTCAGCTAGTTTAGATGACACAGTAATTCCCAAATATTTGATATTTCCTGTTTGCAATTGTAGAATTGAGGGATTTTGTAGGGAGCAATTAATTGGTAGTACTATAGATTTAGACCAATTTATAGAGTACTCTGAGACATTTGAGAAAGATTCTAGTAATCTAATCACTTGAGAGAGGCAAGTGTTTGAGTGCTGAAGATAAAGTCATACATCATCTGCATAAACACTAATTTATGCCCTATTTTCATGCCTTTTATACCTTCAACCACATTAGTTTGTCTGATTGTAGCAGCTAGACGCTCAATGAAAATGGCAAAAAAAAATTAGGGGGAGAGCGGGCATCCCTGTCTGGTGCCCCTCTGAAGACAAAAGCTGGAATATGTTTGATTATTTGTCCTGACAGGCTGTTGGGAAGCTGTATAATATTTTAACAAATTTATTAAGGAATTGCAAAAGCCAAATTTATGTAGAGTAGCAAATAAAAATTTCCAGTTTACTCTATCAAATGCTTTTTCTGCCCTCTAAAGCCAATATGTAAGATTAAATATTTTTACTGGAACCTTATTTTAAAATTGTAGTTTATCTGACATTCAACTAATGATTAAATGACATGAAATGAGAACCAGAGACCAAATAATCAGGCAGCTACACTGCAATGCATTTAGTCTGCAGGATTGCAGATCAAATCAAAAAGAGTGAACCACTGACAGTCACCATCTAAAGGATTAATTGGCTGTTGCCATGAAGAAAAGTGGCCACATCTGTCATGATGGATCAATGGAGCAAGCCCAAGATGCAGAACACACACGGAGGAGGCAGGGAAAAAGTTCAAATGTTTATTAAAAGTTCTGAAACACGAGAGAATAAACAAGTTCTGAGAATGTTTCACTGAAGTCTTGACTGGGACTGGAGACTGTTGGTTAGCAGAGTTCATGAGAAGCTAAGCGTCTAGCTTCAGGCTTAGCATGGCAGACCTTGATCTGAGCTTCCAGCTCATTGCAGAGAACAACAGGGAATATCCACATAGGATTCTTCAGGCTGATTCCACATAGGAACCTTCAGGTAAACTCCACATAGAAGTCCTGAGGTTAAATCCACATAGGAATCTTCAGGTTGGCTCACCAGGGCAGCTTAGCAGGTTAGGCTCATCTAGAGCTTCAGGCTAGAGACAGGTTTCCAGTGAGGCAGCTCATCCAGAGCTTCAGACTAACGACAGGTCTCCTGTGAGGTAGTGATGGGCTATCTGAAGCCAGGCTTCGAGGCTTGTACCGAGTAATAAGGGGGCGTGTCAATGAAGCCCCGCTTCGAGGCCTGTGTTGTCTTGTTGAAAACCACGTGACTGGCAACAAACGAGGCCTCGCATTGCATTGGTCACGTGACTGCTTCATTTTGCGTGTCGGTTTTCAAAATAAAAGCGCGATGAATCCTGTTGCTCCGTGGGTTGTAGTAGGTGGTTTGGTATCAGCAGAACAGTTTTCATCAGCAGTGGTTTAAATGGAGCCGTCAAAAAAGAGAAAAACCTCTCATATGTGGGAGTATTATGAGATGACAGATCACAATCACAACCTGAAACAGTGAAAAAAGTCCTATTCCTAAATAAAAACAATTAAACCTAAAATCCAGAAATTTCTATATTTTCTTTTGTTTAATCAGGAGATGCATCAGAATCACACATCAAAACCAAAACCATCAAAACCTAAGCCATTAGAAGAGGCAAACTCTATGTGTAACTTAATATTAAGAATCAGAACTGGAACTCTTAGGAAGAGATGATTTTAAACAAATTCTGTCTTTAAGGAATCAAGTTTCAAGCTCAAAGTACACAGAGTCTGCAGCAACAGTCACTCAGTTCTCAATACATTAAAGTAACACATATCTTCATTGTCTAATAAGTCCATGACATAAAAGAAAACCACTGATGGTCAAGGATTAGATTGGCTACAAATCATTTTAATCATTAAAACATGACAATTAAATAGGATTCTCCTCTTACTAAACATGAGTTTGATGAAAACTTTGTGACAATATTGCATTTCCTAATATTTGGAAGTATGATCCAACTGAGTAACAAGGCTGTTACAGTTTCACCAGCAGATGTCACTAGTGAGTGATGAATGAAGCATCGAGTAATGAACTTTTTTCAACACTTTGCGTAGGAAAGCTTCATTGCTTCATGAGGCTTCACTTGCCCATCACTACTGTGAGGCACAGACAAAGGAGAGATTAGAATCTGATCGCACACTAGAGACAACTAAGATTCTATCAGTAACAGAGGTTCAGGTAGCTAACCAAACTAAGATCAACACTGTGGCGTGGAAGCAAGGTCTGGCAGGGGTTTATAAAGGGAAGGTCTCCTAATGAGTAGATGGAAATCAGGTGTGCTGGAAGACTCCAGCCCTAGGAGACCCACGGCGCACTCTGCTGGAGACAGGGGGTAATCTCTAGATCCCAACAGTAACTCCAGTCCTAAAAGAAAATAACAAGAGACAGAAGAGGATCCTCGGCGCCCTCTGGTGGGCAAGTCTGAGGATCCCAACAACATCTGCTGAATTTGAAGTTCAAGTTGTAATTTCATTAACAAATTGTTTAATGTAATAACAGCAGATATGCATACATGGATGTACAAAAAAAACTCCACATAATCCCCAGCAATTTACTTTTTAGCTGACAAACCTCATTTTAGTGACATAAAAAACCTTAAACAACTAGTAGCCAGAAGTGCCAAACTCTGAACATCAGCAATTCTCCATCCCTGTGATCAAACAATATCTCAGCAAACATTAAATGGGACTGACAAGCTAAAACTGTAATAAGCCACAGCAATTAATTGAAACAACTTGGTTTTCAACATTAAATGTTGGTTCTACCTGTCCCAGACACTTGTTCTGTATTTTTCTCTGATTTTGACATTAGATAACTTTAAATTAATTTCAGATGATTATAGAAGCAAACGCTGACAGTGAATGCTGCAGGATAAATAAAATCCACCAGTAAAACAAACATCAGATCTGTTCTCATCACTTTGATCTGTTATGAATTAGTGCAGCCTGCAGTTCTACTTCTCTGATTGGCTGCCTGGATTTAAATTAGTTGGATAGGAATCATTTGAAAAGTCATGCTTAGTGTGAGAATATGGAGTGCCAGAAAGTGCTAAAAAACTGCTTAGGACATTGAATACTGCCTGACCTAAAAAGCTACATTTAATGACCAGAAAGAGCATAAATTTTTTCTTTTTTTGTTTAGTGACACCTCTTAAAGACATGCCTGAATTACACCGGTCTGACTTTTAAAAATGTGGGGGTTTTTTCGTGGGTTTTCAACCAAATGCCTGGTAACAGGGCCCTTTTAGCTTACCTTGTGTAGTGTATTGATCATGTAGTGGGAAAAAGTACTCGACTATTCATCCTAATTAAATAAACGGAGATCAATGGATTTCACTCAGTCGGCACATTTATTCATATCTTTGCAAAAAGAGAACAGTCATCATACAGCCCTTAAGGTAATCAGCTCTGTTCTGATCTGGGCAGCATTCGTTCCTCCTTACTTACCATAATGGAAAGTAGTCAGAGTCAAACAAATTACAGACACTTTGGTTAAACAGTAGCATGTTATGAATAAACCTTCAAAAAGAATCTGATTTGTTATGGGAAGAAGCTACGTCTGGTCTATAAACACCATTCTGTAGAGAATTGTGTGGCCTTCAAGGTGAAACAGACTGAGTGAAAACTTTTATAGTGAGTAAATAGGATAAATTAATATATAGTAGAAGAGAAATCTAAATTTTCCAACAACATGGCCGAGTTGGAGAAGGACACCAGTGGCTTTGGAGGGAAATGGTGGCCGTGTGTTGGATTGGTGTTGGTTAAGCGGTGCCCTGCCATCCAGCCTCACCTCAGCAAGTTCCCCTGTTCTCTGCTTTGGAGAGAGAGGTCCTCCATCATCTGCACTCAGGGGCCTGTTGCTGGTACCTGTTGTGGAAGCAGCTCCATTTTCTTTGGGCCCTTTTTAAGGTGAGAGTTACCTCAGCACTGCTTCACTGGAAAACAGTTTAAAGCTTTGACAGAACTACTGCTAGTTTTCCCGGTCAGACTTTCAGACTGGTCAGGAACTAAAACCAGGAAGATTTTCTCCTCCACTGGAGCTTAAGTCTTCCAGCGCTACCTGCTGGGATTATTTCCTGCTACATTCATCCTCCCAGTTTAGATGTTCTTCATCCTCATCATCACATCCTTCCCTCTTCCAGCCCTACAGGAGAAGCTTGTTAGAAACCATCACAGGTTTGACATCAGTAACCTTGGCTGAGTTAAAGGAGGGAACAAGGCTTCACTCCCTGCTGATCTCACTGCTCTGTAGCTTCTCATCTCCAATGTTGGACATGTCTGTGGGGCTGTGGAGAGAGGAGAAGTTAGGAACTGATGATTATTAGCAACATCTGACCTGTAGAAGATGTGAAATCACAGGCCAGTTCAGGCTCTGTCTCCTCCATCAGGTTCATGTTTCATTTAGTGATTTCATCAAGTCTAAAGTCATGAAATGAGTGACTGGAGTCTGACCTGAGTCAGACCTCTGAGCAGTTCATTCATCTCCCTAGAATCACCAGTAGTGTGAGGAGCCATGATCCCAAAGAAGCTGAAGGTTAGAGAGAAAATGCTGCTTGGTTGATTTTTGATCCTGACCATCCAACATGCTGTGACTGTCAGGATATTAGCTTCATTGATTGAATCATTCCTTCCTCTTCCAATGAAAATAATGTTGATGTTGATCATCTTCTGTGGATCCAGATTGTTCCTGCAGCAGACAGCAGTCAGAGCTCAACATGAAGAAACAGGGAAGTTTGCTAACAGGCAGCTAAGATGGCTGCTGCTATAATCTTCAGTGTTGTTCTGTGAACATGAAGCCTGAGCTGTTTGAACCTGTTGCTCAGCTTTTCTCTTTGTCTCCATCTCTTTGGTCATGTTTTAGCTTGTGTCATCCAGATTGACTGATTTCATTAGAACTGACTTCATTTCTCCTCTAATCACAGACTTGGTGGCTGTTCTCTCTATAAGTTGGAATGTGAAGTTGTGGCCTCAGCTCTGAAGTCCAACCCTCATCTTACTGAAGTCGTAATAGAGAAGATCGGTGGACACTGTGAACGCTTTGAAGAGTCTGAAATTAACCCTGTGTGTGAGGTACTGAGGAGTTCTAAATGCAAAGTGAAGAAACTGAAGTGAGTTTTCTGTTTATTCAAACCAAACCATTCACCGATACTTTATTACTGATTTTAATTCAATTTATTCTAATATATTTTCTTTAAAACAGCTGTTGTCCAAATGTCAGAATAATATCTCTCAGACTTTTTACCTTGTAAATGAATTATTTTCCTGTTCCAGATGTTCTTAATATTGAACTTTATTTTGATGAAACTTTAAAATGGGTAAAATCAGTCGAATGATGTTAAGTAATGATGGAGATGTTTCAGTTTGATTTGGGAAAGATTAAGATGATGAGACAAGATAAGATGGCTTTATTAGTCATTTCTGATTCACATCTTTCCATCCAGAATGACATTTGGTTCCTCTAGAGTAGAACCAGAACCACAAACATGTTAGAATAACTAGAATAAAATAACATGATCTAAAAACTAATGTTTAGGAAGAAAAGACAAAGAAATGAAATCTTTGTCCTGAAGCTGCTGGTCTGTTGGACCGGGTCAGAGAGAACCCCTCCTCTTCAATCTGTCAGCTGTCAGAGTCACTTGGAGCCACAAATACTTAGTTACTGAACTTAAGCAGCTTTTTATTTCTGACTTATTTACTTCTTATTTACTTCACATCTGGACTTTCTACTCCTTCCTTTCTCCCAACCAGCTCATTTCTTCTCTCCATATTGATAACGACATGACCTGAGAGCTGCAACAAAACAGGGAAAATCAGGAAGAGAATCTGTCCAGTTGGAGCCCAGTTAGTTTGTAGAAAAACACTGATAGAGACATGGATGAAGACAGGAGGCTGGAGACATTGATGGATCAGATTGTGAGACGCAGACATTCCCCGTCCATTCCCCCTTTATTAGGGAGGAAATGTCCATGTTGATTCTGTTTGCAGCTTTAATGCTGTGTGTGGTAAATTACAAGAGACTTCTTATTCCACAGGAAGGTGGTTTATTTTATAACATGAACAGCATACAGCTTCACACGGACTTTTCTTCTTCTACTCTCTTTGTACTGCCCGCACTCTTCTTCTACGGTCAATAACCTTACCAACAAGTAACAGCGCTTCCTAGTGGGCATGTATGTATTACACTTAAACTCCACAGTTACTACACTGTGAATAGCAGAGCTCTAAAAGGATTCAGCTGCTGATGAAGGACTTCTGTTTACTTCAATCTATATCATCCTGTCTAAAAATAGAATCTAGAACCAAACTAGACCCATTTTTATGTTCTCTCTACCAACACAGGGAGAAAAGAAGCTAAATTAACCTGTTTTCTCAGCAGAAAAAAACTCTTTGAAGAATCAAGTTTTTAAAAGTTATTTTATTTTTTGAGGCAAAACCTTATTTTTGATTTGGTAGAAGCTGAACTTTTTTTCCTTTGTCTTCAGTAAATGAGTTCAATCAGTTTTTCCTTACAGTTATCTGTACTTTTACTTCAGTGAAGAAGGTGAAAACTTTGGACACCTCTGGATCCAGAGAGTTTTGTTCCCGTAGTTTCTAGCGACTCCTCTGGGCTTTATCTCCATCTCAGTATGGCATCAGCTGCGTACTGGTGTTATACAATATTTAGTGACCCTGGCCAAAGAGAGAATGTGTTCAGTGATGCTCTACGATTGAGCCAGCACAGTGTCCATTAAAACATTCTGCTGGAATGTTTTAATGGAAAGTTTTAATCTGCACCCTGTTCAATTCAGCTAAAATATTTTGTTTTTTATTCAGATTGTGGGACTGCAGTTTGTCAAAGACCAGCTGGACTTCTCTGTTCTCAGCTCTGAAGTCTAATCCATCCCATCTGACAGAACTGAACCTGCTAAGAACCAACCTGGACTCTGGATTGAAGGAGCTCAGTGGGTTTCTCCAGTCTCCCCTCTGCAAACTACAGACATTGAGGTCAGATATAGTCTTTTTGTTTATTCTAATAACATTACAGTGCAAATCTTAGTATAAAGGTAAATCAGTGAGCTAGTCAAGGATCAATAGGCTTTACTTAGAGCAGTGTGCTTGTGCTCTTACAAGGTAGAAAGTTCCTGGTTCAATCCCCACAGCCTCCACTCTGGGTTCCTGAGCAAAACCCTTAACCTCACACTGCTGTCCAGGCGCCACACAATGACAGCCCACTGCTCTCCAGGGAGATTGCTTAAATACAGAGTTAATTTCCCCATTGTGGGACTTTAAAGAGATTTATTTTGGATGAAAAGATGCTGAATGAACACATGTGTAACAACTGGGAGGAAAGTATAAAATGGAGAATTATCAGCCAAACTGTTAAATCAGATGTTTTTTTTTATGCAGATGAATCATCAAATGCAGACAAATTTATTAAGTCACTGCCGCGATACTGTGATGATGATTTGGGTAAAATGCTGACTCAGCATCTGGTCTTTAACAAGGTTAATATTACAGATACAGTCACTGTCACAGGTTGAATAGATGTAATATAAACCTACACAGAAAGTATTATAGGTTTTTATTTGCATGAGAAATAGCTGGAAAAGTTGAGTTTGAACATATTAAAGGAAAATTTTGTTTTAAACCACTTCCTCATTGTATTCAGTATCTCAGTTGTGCAGTTTGTCTATTTTCCCCTTTTATTTATTATAACATTTTATTTATAAAAAACTTTCAGATCATCCTATGGATAACCATGGTACCGAATAAAATAATAAAAACACCAATAACAGCAAATCACTAGAACTTGCACTGACTTGGATTGACATAAAAGACAGAAATGAATGAAAGGATGAGGTTGTGTTTGGTGTCATATGTTCATGGTATTGATTTCTATTGAATGAGAATGGGAGCCAGTGGAGTTAATGAACAGCTGGGAGTTGGGTGATGGAATGATTCGGCCATTGTGGGCCCCAGGTGAACTTTAATCAGGGGCCCTCCACTAAGTCAGTGACTCTTTTTGAGTCATGATCCTAATTTTACATAAACTGCTGTCTATGAAAACTAAAAAGAGGCTCCAGAAAAAGACAAGACACAAAGCTGAAGCAGGTCAGACAGAAGAGGCTGCAGGACACAGAGAAATAAGCTCCTCCAAGAAGGTTCTGGGTTTGATTCCCAGCCCGGTGTCTTTCTGCATAGAGTTTGATGTTCTCCCTGAGCATGCGTGGTTTCTCTCCCCGTACTCCGGCTTCCTCCCACAGTCTAAAAACATGCCTGTTGGGTTAATTGACTTCTCTAAATCCTCCATAGGTGTGAGTGTGTGTGCGTTAATGGTTGTTTGTCCTGTTTGTCTCTGTGTTGCGACCTGGCGACCTGTCCAGGGTGGACCCCACCTCTCGCCCGTAGACAGATGGAGATAGGAACCAGCACCCTCGTGACCCCACTTGTAATTAAGGATGTTAGAAGACCGATGGATGAATGGATGAATCTCTTTCAAATGGTCAGATCCTAAAACCTCATTTGAGGATTTTATTCCTGATGAGAGATTTCCAAAACTTGAGATAAACATTGATTGAGCTGTAATCAAGTGCTTATGCATTCCCACTTATTGTTTTTTACTTTTTATTTTTCTGACTCTAACTAGTCCCGCAGTTCTCAACCGATTTCAACAATTTTGGTATTAAAACATTCAGCTTGTTCAGGAGAATCCTGCTATATCTTTTGGTAAAGATATTTTTTGTCGTTTTCGCGATATGCAGCTTTTTCTGCCTTTTTTATCCCATTGAAATGCATGTAGAATTCTTACATTTCAGCGAAATTCCACTAAAACTTCAGCTACTTTGCCCTTTAAGTACTTCAGCATACTTTCAGCTAGAAACACCATTCAACTTTTAAAATGTTTCCGTATCTTTCTGCTATTACTGTTTAACTCGGCTTTTTGCTAACTTTTACAGTTTTGCTTCAGTGAAGCTTCAAACTTTTAAAGTATTTTTAAAGATTTTCTAATTTATAATGGAAGTCTATCGACGGAATGTTCAACTGCTAGAGTGTGCCACTCTAGCGTTTTCAAACATTTCACTCATGCCAAACAGCTTCAACTCACTCGCTCATTTATTACTCTATCTAGAAAAAAATAACATCAAAACGTAGGGATTTTTGTCAGGATGCAAGGAATGTAACCCTTATTGGTGTGTGATTTACACTTTTCCGTCAATCTGGTCCAGAGCACGGAAAAGTCCACACTTCCTCAATAGAAATCCTATGGGAGCTCTCTGACAAATCAGAAATGAAAATTTAAAAAAACCAGACTTTTTCGTATCGCTCCCATTTGGGAACCCTTTTGACGTAGCATCATGAGTCTTGTGGAAGTTGTTCCTCATATTGAAGGAAGTGTGTCGATATCTTTTATCGTTTAGCCAGGAAAAAGGTTTGTTCGGGGGTAACAAATCTGTCCAAACCCCCAAATCAAGATTTTTACAATTATACACTTTTTTACATCCTCACCACGCCTAGACCAAATATTGTAGAAATAGGAAAGTAAGACCAGTTGTAGTCCAAAGATTGCTAATGCTCACGGGGAAAGAATTTTTTGAATAGCTTATACGGTTTTGCCTTCAGCACTCGTGTGTTCGGAGGGGTTTTTTAGCAGCTGAAAGGTCAGTGAGTCTTAGGTGCTGCATGGAAATCAATAAGAGGAGCAGGTGGGACAAACCATTTTGTTTGTCTTTCGGTTAGGGTTGTGAAAGACCTAGAGACATGAAAGTTACCCCATTCTGAGACAAAGGATAGATGTCGCTTAGACTAAAATAATTTTTTAGATACCATTTACGGTTTGCCTTCAGCACTCATCTGTTTGGAGGGGGTTTTTAGCAGCTGAAAACTCAGTGAAGCCGAGGTGCTGCAGCTAATCCAATAAGAGGATCTGGTGGGACAAACCATTTTATTTCTCCTTCCCATTAAGCTCGTGAATGAGCTAGAGCCATGAAAGTTACCCCAGTCTGAGACAAAGGATAGATGTCGCTTAGATTACAAGAATTTTTTAGATACCATTTACGGTTTGCCTTCAGCACTCATGTGTTTGGAGGGGGTTTTTAGCAGCTGAAAACTTAGTGAAGCTGTGGTGCTGCAGCTAATCCAATGAGAGGATCTGGTTGAACAAACCATTTTATTTCTCCTTCCCATTAACGTTGTGAATGAGCTAGAGCCATGAAAGTTACCCCAGTCTGAGACAAAGGATAGCTGTCGCTTAGACTGAAAGAATTTTTTAGATACCATTTACGGTTTTCCTTCAGCACTCATCTGTTCGGAGGGGGTTTTTAGCAGCTGAAAACTCATTGAAGCTGAGGTGCTGCAGCTAATCCAATGAGACAATCAGGTGTGACAAACCATTTTATTTCTCCTTCCCATTAAGGTTGTGAATGAGCTAGAGCCATGAAAGCTACCCCAGTCTGAGACAAAGGATAGCTGTCGCTTAGACTGAAAGAATTATTTAGATACCATTTACAGTTTGTCTTCAGCGCTCGTTTCTTCTGAGGTGATTTTCCCATTCAAAAAAGCCTGAGAAGAAAGGAACGAAAGTGCAGCGCATGTCTCTCTCTCTCACTGACAGGCTCGTTAAGCGTCGTCAAGGTAACCAAGCTTCAAAGGGTTTTTACCTCTGCCACTTTATACAGCACATATTAATCTAATGGAGGGAGAAAACACTGAATTAACATTTGGAAATGGATACTATGGCTGCGTCTCAATTCGCAGGCTGCGTACTTGGGAGGACGCATTTTGAGGCCGGTGACGTCACAACGCTGCGCGGAGGCCGTCCCATTTGGCAAAAATTCTGAGGACGCTTAAAATACAGCCTCAAAATGCGTCCTCCTTTTCCCCGAATTCTGAGGATGCATCGCTACCGTCCTTAGTGGCCTCGCCTCCCACTAGATTTCCTGAGGTGCTTTGCGCGTTTCTTCTTTGTTTTTTGTTTTAGTAGTTGAAGAAGAAGAAGAAAGTCAGATTTTATTCAAGTTACTGACAACGGAAAGCAGCAGCAGCGCCGGCAGTAGTGCGGAGAACACCTTTAAATGTAAGTAGTTTGTTTTTGTTTTTTTTAAATGAACATCTATGAAAATACATAATGGTAAACGGAGCCACCGGAATGTGTAGGAGCAGCTAAAGCTAAAGCTTAGAGCTAACCTGTTGATACGTGATGTTCATCTACATTAAAAGCCTTCATACAAATGTCACTATTTTTTATTTAACCTACATCTTACTGTACTGATAGCCATATCCCTCACTAATCGGATCTATTTATTCTCATACAGTTTATTACAAAGGATTAGAACTGTCCAAGCTTAATGCAGCTGAAGAAATAACATTAGTCCAGCTGTACTGGGCTGTCAATACTGCAATCGTTTTGTTTTAATACTCAATAATGTATATTTAATTTACAGTACAGTATAATAAGGTTTAAAGTATAATTTGCTTGAAGAACAATACGGGCGTAATTATACAGAACAGTCATTTTGCCTGTTGACATAACAGAAATATGCTTTACATGTCATTTTGTTCCAGGGAGCAGACAGAGGAGTGGATAAAATGACCACCTTATCATCGGGGCCAAAGATACTGCTGCAGTCAGATGGAGGGAAGAGTTGAGGCAGAATTCCATCTACATGTTGCATTTCTATGTAAAAGTCACACAAGTTAAAAGAAGTCCTGTTCAAACACCAACGTACAAATATAATCTTTTGATCACAACAAATGATGCTCAGATGACACTTTTTGTAAATCTCATATTTGTGATAGAAGTGATCCTTGTGTGGGACAACTTAAAAAAAATACAAAGTATGTTCAGGTTTGGATAATGTTATGAAACACACATACATATATAAATATATATATATATATATATATACATATATATATATATATATATATATATATATATATATATATATATATATATATATATATATATATATATATATATATATATATATATATATATATATATATTTATATATATATATATATATATATATATATATATATGTGTGTGTGTGTGTGTGTGTGTGTGTGTTTTTGTAGGGAAGTTACATCTTACATTTATTATATTCATGTTAATTTACACTTTGAGTACGCTTAAAAAAGTAATCTCCAGGTTACCATTCCAAAGTCTTTTTCTGTAGAATTTCATCAATCCATCCAAATAATGAAACATTCCTTTTTTCTAGCATCTGTTGATACAAATGCCACCTACTTATGCCACCTGGCCCTGGTTTGTCCTCATGGATGAGGTATTAGGACAGAGGCCCTCTGTTGCCCATAATTGCCTCCATTCCTGAGGACACACCAGGGCCAGGTGCTGCAGAGGCTTGGCAGCATCGGGGTGACGATGAGGAAGAGAATGAGGGTGGAGGGAAAGGAGGAAGAGAAGAAGGAGTGACGAGTTGGTGGATTTAATCAGGGAGGATATCAGATGGCAGAGGGAGGCGGGAAAGGATGGACAGATTATTTCATTTATTGGAGAGGATGGTGGACAGTTGTTATTATTTTTTGGGTGTTTTTTTTAACAAGTTGAGGTTCTGTGTTGCTGTTATTGTTAAATTAAATTATTAAATTGTTTATAAAAGTTATTGTTGTCGGTGTGTTCTTAGTCTTTTAACCTTTTTACATTATCTGTTTCATCACTTCTTTATAATTTAAGTAAACTTCTCAGTGACATCATTTTATTTTTAGAGAAGCAAGTATTTAACAATAAACTATTAAAAACATTTTTACCTATTGACATTAGATTTTAAAATTAACTACTACAACTATTTACTGTCATGATGGGTTTTAGTTTCTTAGCCCACATGCAGAACACAACGGAGGCTGGGTAAAAGTTAATTTTTTTGTTGTTTCTTTCCGTATTTCTCGAGCTGTCGGATTTTGTTTCGCGCTGTGTTTGGGGTAAACGTGATGACGTCGTGTCGCAACCAGGAAGTGCTCCAAAGGCTAGACAGTCCCATTTACCAACGGCTGAGGATCCTCCGGAGCATCCTACCAAGGCTGGGTCCTCTGGAGGCTAGGCAGGCTGCGTCCTCGGAAGTACGCAGCCTGCAAATTGAGACGCAGCTTATATGACTACTGGCCATGACCCTTCCCTTCACATGCAACCCTGATAGAATTTCAAAATAAGACTCCGGGGACCCTAAAAAAATAAAAGCCCCTACATTAAACTCATATTTTTTTCCCAGCATATGGCTCAACATTATGACACAAACTCAACCACTTTTTTAAAAGTAGACTCTAGGGGTTTTTCAAAACACACCCCACAGCAAATTTCTAAATAAAAGCCTCCCATTGCCACTTCATCTACTGCCCAATAACAGGGGAAAAGAGTGATTTAACGATTGGAAAGTCTTTAAGTATCACTGCTGGGTCTTACCCTTTTCTCAACACACATCCCCTCTAGACTTTCAAAATAAGACTCCAGTGACCCTACAAAATAAAAGCCTCGATATTATACTCATGTATTCATTGATGCAAATGGCTTACCATTATGACCTAAACTCTACTAGCTTGTTTCTATTAGACTCTAGGGACCTTTTCAAAACATACCCCAGAGCAAATTTCACAATAAAACACTGCCATTTATGCTCTAATACAGCATGTATTCACCCAATAACATGGAAAACCAGTGATTTCAAATTTAGAAATGGATTCTATATCACTGCTGGGCATGACCCTTCCCTTGACACACATCCATGATAGACTTTCGAAATAAGACTAAAGGGACTCTACAAAATAAAAGCCTCTTCCTTACATACACTCATTTATTGTGCCAAATGGCTCGTAGCTATGACCCAAACTTAACCAGTTTCTTCAAATTACACTAACAAGGCCTGTTGACCACACACCTCAGTGCATATTTCTTAATCAGGTTCTAAGATTTACACTGTAATAAAGAATCTGCTAACCTCGTAACATGCAGCCTAAGCCTGCCAACGGTGCTGTCATCACCACAGCGGCTCGTAACATGTAGGTTATTTATTTATTTATTTTTTTGATAAATTCAGCTCCTTAAGTGGTTTTAGCTCTCTTTCTATAAGCTTCTCCCTCTGTCCTTCCTCTGCTTCTCATGGTCAGTTTTGCAGATCAGTTTGTAGATTTTCAATCCTCTAAGGATGACCCTGTTTTTGCTGATCAACGACACATTTTAAATCATTTCAAATTGTTTTGCCAAGTCTTGACATTTCCTCATATGATTTCAAAATTTTTATACTAATTCTACTAACTCCCCAACATACGGAGTGACTACTGGTATGGGTTTGGGTTCTGCTGGAGTCCTGTTTGGGTTTCTGTCTGCTTTGAGGAAAGCCCAGTTAGGAGAACCACATTGCTCTACGGTCCATCTAGTGTGTGATTACTCCATCTCTATGCTGAAGTCAGCAGGTCTTTATTGGAGCAGCAGTATGTTGGCAATAATATCAATGAGAGCTCTTTAATTGGTTCTGTTGGACTGTTCTACCTGCATCCTGTTGGATCAGCTCACATCTTTCTATTTTTATCCAGGTTGGTTGGCTGCGGTTTGTCACAGATCAGCTGTGATTCTTTGGTCTCAGCTCTGAAGTTAAACCCCTCACATCTGGAAAACCTGGACCTGAGTTGGAACAACCTGAAGGAGTCAGATGTTCAGCAGCTGTGGGATCTTGTAGAGAGTCCAGACTACAAACTGCAGTGTCTGTAAGTAGATGGTTGGAGTGAGTCCAGCTGCTCCACAGCCGCTCTGAACAGGACTGAAGTCCCTGCTGCTCCTAATCCTGGATGTGCTGCATCACTGACTGACAGCTGATGGAGAGAGAGAGGCTGGAAACACTCATTGATCTCCTCTGTTCATCCTTTTTCTCTCTGCAGGGATATGTGGGCATGTTCTTACTAGAGGAGAGAAGCTGATCTGTGTCCTGATGATCCACAGAGCTTGAAGCTGCAGCAGTCTGAGTTTAAAGAGACTCTGACTGGATCCTGATGATGAAATCTGAGTTTGTAGATTTTTTTAGCGAGCAGTTTAGTGGTGAGTCTGTTCAGGATTGTTGTGTTGAAGGCAGAACTGTAATAATCCACAAAGAGCATCCAGACGTAGCTCTTCTGCTGCTCCAGGAGGTTTAGTGCAGAGTGGAGAGTGGAGAGCTATAGTGATGGCGTCCTTTGTGGATCCGTTCACATCCAAAGAAGAAGGAAGATAACATCACAATTTCCAGAACAAACATTTTACCAACATAAATCATGTAGGAGGAGCATCAAATTCACTGGACCAATTGAGAGAATCCAAATCCCCTTCATATGATCATGGTAATTGCAAGATGATGCTAATTGCAAGTAAAAAAATGTTTAATCTTAGAGTAGAGCCCTAGCGCACTCTACTGAACACTTGCCACTGCTAATATCTAATTTTGAAATTTAAATAAAGTGCCTTTCTTTGAGAACATGGATTTGACTTGATTAATTTTTGTTTTAAGGCATATTACCATCAACTATTCTCTACACCCATCAATTTCTGATAAATATTATGATTATGAAGCATGAGGGCTTGTGTACTGCATTTGGTTTATAAAGGTTCTTCTTTTTGTTAGTTACCCTTTGGAAACTCTGTGCCCCATGTTGACACTCCCAAAAATAATATTCTGGCTACGCCCCTGACACCAGGATAAAGTTAATTTAACTTTATATAAAACATAACAGTTGCTAAAATGTAATAATATTTTTATAAAGAGCAACCACCTTTAATAAGTAAGTAGAACATTCGGACAATCCCATTGGCTGAGAAGCTGGCAGTGGGCGTGGCTAGTGCTGCAGCGGCTGATATTGGGTTTAATTGGGACTGTTTAGAGTTCAAGATAATTAGTTTCTATATTATAAGTGAGGTACAGATGGTGAGATTTGCTTTTATGGGACTTTAATATAAATGGAGAAGCACAACCTTAGGAAGAAAAATACATTTCTAACAACTTTAACAACTTAAACATTAAGTTCTCTGGTCTACAGTGTAATATTAATGTACTGATAAGAGTTGGCCACCAGGAGGCGACATTGTTCTATTCAAGTGTGTGTGGCAGAGACAGAGTTTGAAAACAGCCCCCAGCTCTAAACATGCTTAGAGGAAGATAAAAATGAAAGATATTCATCCAGCTGAAGCTGTCAGGCAATGTTTATGAGAACTGCTCAGCATTTAGTCCGAGCTTTGAGCTCTATCTGTTTGAAATAGGGCCAGACGATGGTGCCAACTGCAGATAGAAAGTATTACTAACAGTAGCAGGCCTGGATGTTAGCAGTTCTGAAGTAGGAATTCTAGGATAAGAGACCAAATCGTCATCGGAGAGAAAGATAAAAGATAAAGGATGCAGCTGTTAAATGAAGGAGACCAAAACAGCAATGGAAAGCACCAAAATGCATTTATTTATCACACCTTTATTGATTCTGGAAGTTAAGACAGAAAACGACCAGAACAACAAGGCCACATTAAATACTATCTCTAACTACCTGTTTATACATATAGACATAAAGCACTCTGTCCTATTGAAGTAGCACAATCAAATTCGTAAAGCGAAAAACAGACATTCAAGGTCATGAAACATTAACTAGTCACTTTTCTTCTTCACCATCCCTTTTAGTATAATGGCAGTAAGTCTTTTACCTGCAAACTTAAAGAAAGGCCATCCCACATTTGGACATGTGTCTTCCATTGGTAACATGTCAAAATCACTTTATGCCATCCTTTATTTGCAGGAGGTAGATGATCATCCATGACCATCCAACCAATACAGCAGATGTGAGGATACTGAAAAACCGTCTTAAATCGGACCCTCAATGTGACGACATTGAATATTAAGTTGGGTTTACGGACATTTTCCCTCAGTCCTCCTTAAAATGGGTACATATCAGTGCTTGTAATTTCTCTGCCTCTTCATGACATTTAGAGCATTTTAGAGAGATGTGGGTTTATAATGTGTCTGAGCTGTAAGTGATGTAATTTAAAACTGGGTCTCTTTGCAATGGTTGTATGTCCTGTTTGTCTCTGTGTTGCCCTGCGATGGACTGGTGACCTGTCCAGGGTGGACCCCGCCTCTCGCCCATTGACAGCTGGAGATAGGCACCATCACCCCTCGCGACCCCAATTGAGACAAGTGAGTCAGATAATGGATGGATGTATGGGTCTCTTTGCTAGACCGGTCAATTGTGTTGAAGTGAGAGCTGAGCCAGAAGACAAAGTTCTTGATTTACCGGCCGTCTTTGGTCATGAGCTTTGGGTAATGACTGAAGAAGCGGGATCCCAGTGTTGTCGGAAAATTTTGATTTCTCTTATTTCATATATATATATATATATATATATATATATATCACGAATGAGGGAAGAAGGGAGCGGGAGATCGACAGGCGGATTGGTGCAGCGTCTGCCGTGAAGCGGGCGCTGTACCGGTCCGTCGTGGTGAAGAGAGAGCTGAGTCAAAAAGCAAAGCTCTCGATTTACCGGTCGATCTACGTTCCTACCCTCATCTATGGTCATGAACGCTGGGTCATGACCGAAAGAACGAGATCGCGGATACAAGCGGGCGAAATGGGTTTCCTCCGTAGGGTGGCTGGGCTCTCCCTTAGAGATAGGGTGAGAAGCTTGGTCATCCGGGAGGGACTCGGAGTAGAGCCGCTGCTCCTCCACGTCCAGAGGAGCCAGTTGAGGTGGCTCGGGCATCTGGTTAGGATGCCTCCTGGACGCCTCCCTGGTGAGGTGTTCCGGGCACGTCCCACCGGGGGGGAGGCCCCGGGGAAGACCCAGGACACGCTGGAGAGACTATGTTTCTCGGCTGGCCTGGGAACGCCTTGGGGTTCTTCCTGAGGGGCTAGAAGAAGTGGCTGGGGAGAGGGAAGTCTGGGCCTCCCTTCTTAGGCTGCTGCCCCCGCGACCCGACCCCGGATAAGCGGAGGAAGATGGATGGATGGATGGATGGATGGATGGATGGATGGATATATATATATATATATATATATATATATATATATATATATATATATATATATATAAGTTTACACTCAGTCTCCTTGCCTAACCCCTCCAACCCCAAAGAAATAATAATAATAATACTGATTAATGTGACAGAGAATATAGATAACAGGATTTAATTCATACATTAAGATGAATGGTGGAGGCTTTAAAATGATCTATTCTTGATGAATCCATAACTCGTATATATCTGAAGGTTAAATTGACTGAAATTTTATATTGTTTCTTCAAGTTTGAACACCTCAGCCTGACTGTCTGATGTGCGTTTGGGAAAACCAGCTTTGTTGATGTTTGTTGATGTTTCAGCTGGTTTGTTGTTTCTTCACCTCATGAAACTCTGGTTTCTGGTTCTTTGATTTTGCTTCGCCTTGGAAACATCGTTCTTGAAATCAGATAGAAAGCCCATTTTCTTCTTCCACACACATCATGTCTGGTGGAAGCAACAGAGAAGGCTCTGCTGCAGCCTCTCCCCTTGTTAAGTTTGAAATTATGGAATAATTCAATGATTTGTGACAAAGTTATTTAATCTTAAGTTCTTTAAGCTACATGAACTTGTTTTATCTACTATTGTTTGTGAAAGGCTAAGATAACATCTGATCTGTCCTTCCCTCAGCTCCTTTAATTCAGCATGTTGGTAACTTTGACTCCCAGTTTTCCTCCACATGAGTTCATGACGGGTCGACCCGTTCCTGGACCACAGAACGGGCCTGACCTCTGACCTCTGGCCAGACTGGGACTGACAGGTGACACATTAAAATGACCTACAAGACCTTTTTCCCCTTAGTCAGAGACGGCTTTACAGAGGGACCAAGGTGCCTGGAGACCCTGATGGGAAACCATCTCAGCCATCCTTCCATCCTTCAGCAGGAGGAGGTGTGGCTCAAAGTCTTCAAAAGAAAGTGATCAGAGCTCATCTGAGCTCATCTGGAAGGAACCAGGAAGAGCTTCAACAAAACAAATCAGAACAAAGGGGCAGAATAATCCCCTCTGATTGGTTAATTAACACATCAGTAGTCCACCTGATGTGTTGAGGACCAGCTGCTCTGCAAACCACCCATTGAACCGCGTTCAAAATGTCGCCTGTATAAGCGACCAACATCAACAGAAAGATGAAGACGCCCACCTGAAGATGTCTGACATCAGCTTTGGCTTTTTGATTTTTTAATCATACAACATGAATGAGAAGGGAAATGTGTTGTGATGTGTTGTATTTTAATCAAAGATTAAAATTTTTAGTTTCTGAGTGTTTGATATTACTTTTCTTGATAATAAAAGAAAGTCCAAGTGTTAGATGAGCACCTGATGGCTGATGGTCAGTATAGATGAGCAGCTGATGGCTGATGGTCAGTATAGATGAGCAGCTGATGGCTGATGATCAGTATTGGCAGAGATTTCTGGATCAGAGAATGAACTCTGATGATCGGGTCTCAGCTACCGTTGGGAAAGAGGAGCGCTGAGATTAAATCCTCCCACTTTTCAATGTGAGCTTTGACTGACCCTGATTCTGAAGAGCTGAACTCGTCATCTGCGTGAAACATCTTTGTGTTATGATTTTAACATTTTGCATAGATCCTTTTTACTTTTAATGAAGCTCAGATTAATAATTTGACTTACAGTTTGTAGACATGAAGGGGTCTATTGTTTTGACTGATTTGAACTTTTCTCTTTCCAGGGAAACAAAAGGGTAACTGATAAAGATAAGAACTAAAAATTTAAATTTTCAGCAAATAGATATTTTCCCATAAAAGTGTCATCATGGGAAAAAACAGTAAATATTTTTGCCAACTAAGATGTGATTCCAGGGCTCTATTTATTGGCAACATATTTTAGCTATCATAATCTTTTCCATGATTTTTCCTTCTATTATAATCATTTAACATTGTCCAACGACTTAATGCATGTGTGCATTTTTTGATATTTATTTTTTATTTTTTTTATTTTAGTTTCTTTTTTTTACTTTCTTTACATTTATTCACAATTTTTAGTGTTTTTCTATTCATAAATTTTCCTTTTTTTTAATATCGATTACACAAGGATAATTTCCTTTTAAAATCGAAAGGGTGGACTGTTGTCGGAAAATTTTTATCTCTCTTCTATTATATATTAATTTATCGTATTTAC